CATTTTCATCCAAGTATCCTGGTGCACTTTCAATCATATGCTCAATAATTTGCAGATTATCAGTTGACTTCAAAGCAGGAAGATGATCTTCATTGCTACAATGATAAAAATGTTAGTTTTTTTACTATAATTAAATATTTAATATGCAATATTCTTTATTAAGAATCATTTTACTATATATTTGTAGTAAACATATATATTTCTCTTACAATGCTAACAATAATATATATTTGTTCACCTACCTATGATAATAACGTAGCAATTTAATGTCGTTATTATTTAAAGATAAATAGATATTTTAATATATTGACCTAATTCTAAAACGTCCTTGATAATTTTATATAATTATGTAGCAACTAGGAAGTGCATGATTACGAAATTATAGAGAAAAGCTTCTTCTGTTATCGACAATAGATAATTAGAAGTTTATGTAGTTGCAATAAATTATAATTATTTGCTCTAAATTTTAATTTATTACTTTTACGAACCACATTTTTACTTATAAAATAATGTTAAGTATCCTCGAAGATATTAGCTATTTAATATTTAATATAAGACGTTTGATATTTGATTACCTCCAAATGTAATCAATGAAGTAATTGCAATGAAATTGTGAATTGTATTTACGTACCGAAAGTATCAAAGTGGCTATTTGCATGTTTAAATTGAAAAAGTAAACTCTTTAATGTCGATAAAGGCTTATAAATATTTTTTCACGCATGTTTTCCGTTCTTTAATAACTATATGATAAAACTCTTCAGCTTATTGGAAGTTGTAATTTTACTTTCAACGCTTACTACAATTTCATGATAATTTGTAAATCTATTAGCTTATTAAATACAGAATTAATGAATAAATTAATAGATGAATCTTGTTATAAAATTCTATTCTAGTTCTTATTACAATTCCGTTCAAATATTTCTGTAGTTCAAAATGAACGTTTGACACAACATTTTCTGTCTTGTATCTAAAAAATTTTATATGCTTAATATTATTTACATTTATATGTTAAAGTGTAAGTAAACAAATATATACATATATATATATATACATATATACATTGCTCGTAAATATATAAAATATAAAATATTTTTTATTTAACTAGATATCATTACACGAACTTTTCATATGTGTAAGAATTTTTCATCTAATTACTATCAACTGTTATAGATCATTTTCATCGAATGTTACTTGAATTATTGTAACCAGTTCATCATAATTTGAGAATTAAACGAAAATTTAATACAAATTTTAATTTGCTTTTTACACAATATATATAAATTTTTTGCAGAAAATGACTTTATCGGCATTATTATTACGCAGAAAACTGGAAAATTCCTTTTCTTCTAAATACAACTCATCAACATTTAATTTAAACTAGTAACTAATATGTGAAATTTTTTAATATTACGCAAATAAACTTTGAAAAAAAAATTTATAAAATTCTCAAATGATAAAAATGTCGAATTGCAGAAAAGTAGTTCAGCGCCTTAATTTTAATGAATTTTTAACAAAAGATATCTATTAATATTTCATTAATGCATATAATTAATATACTGATTCGTCCTCGACCATTTATTAATAATGAAAAAACGTTAATAGAAGTGGAGAAAATAATATTTGAATCATGTTCAACTATTTTTTATTAACTCTAATAGAATTTTATATTAATAAAAACACATATAGTTCATAATTTAACAGTAGATAATTAAACTTATTTATAAATGTTATTTTTTATATCATTTTACTCCTTTTAGAAATAAAAGTTTATATTATTTACGAATAATTCTGAATTTCACAGCAGATGGATAATTTACCATAATTACACTATACAAATTCGTTCGAAGTACATAATTTTAAACACGTTCAATAAATAACTTAATAAATATAAATTAAATAGTTTACTGATACTTAACAAAAAAAAAAAAAAAAAAAAAATAAAAAAATTATGATACTTATATTTTTACTCTATCTAAAAATTACAAAAATACATTGTTAATAATGACTTATTTATATAATAATACCGATAAAATAAATCCTATATAATTCAGTATTTGAAAATGATATTCTGTAGCATAATTACATATTTTTTAATTGTCAAATACTTTGAACTCATATAATTATGAGAGTAGAGAATGAGTGAGGTGATGGATTAGTTTAATTAATATCGAATCAGTGATTGAATTTATTCCATGTTTTAATTGGTCGGTAGAAAATTTCTTTTATATGTGTGCGTGTGCGTGCGTGCGTGCGCGCGTGTTTGTGTATCATTATTCTATGCCGTTATAGCAGTTAATTTTACAAATTAAATAATTACTCGTGAAACTATAAGTTCCCGGTTACAGTAATGATATAATGATGTAGATCATCGGTTATAATTGCTTATAGTAATGAATACCTACAGTACATTTATCAAAAAAATTAATCTTATACTTTTTTTTTTTTTTAAATAATTGTAACCTAACGCGAAATAGCAATTTACGTAAATGACAGGCATTAATAAGCGGCTCGACCAGACGTTCGCAATTCCTTTCTGCTCTTCAACAATTGCATAAAATGGCTTGCAACCATTACTAAACATATCGAGATATTGAAACATACGCATTGTCGTATTCCAACGAATTGTTTTCTTCCTCTTCGCCAATAGTCGCCAAATTGCTCTGCCAATAGTAATCGTCGTCATCGCTTTCGTCAGTCATATCATCCTCATCACCGTCAATATCGTCAGTCGCCTGGTTTTTCATCCCTTGAAAAAACCGCGTATCCTCATCGCTCTCCTCGTCGAGCCGATCAATCTCACTCGACCCGTACCCCGCAACTTTTCTTAGCTCAAAGTCGATTACAGGCGTATCCTCGTATATCTCGTCCTTCTCCCCCACATCCACCATCTCATTCATCCCGTTCCTCTCGTTCGTCTCCTTCTTTTCCTTCGCCTCGTTTGAAACTCTGCCCCCCTCGTCATCGCTGACGTCCTCGAGCTCAATGGCAACTGGGCTGGAGGTGCTCGTGTCCGCGATCCCCTTACTATTAACACTATTAGTCATCTCCACCACATCGATCGCGTAACTCTTTTGCGGACTATCGTCGTAAGCAGAAGCATTCGCCCCTCCTACAGGTACTTCGCAATCTTCCGAGGTCCTCGAGGGCTCCTTCTGCAGCATCATAGCCTTCGCCTTCTTCATCTCGACAATCTCCAGCACTTTGTTCGTCTTATATTGCAGCTCGATCTCTTCGACATTTCCCCTCGCATTCTCATCATTGGCCACGATTTCTTCTTTAGCTTCGATGTCGCTCGTCTCCTCCAAGCTTCTCGGCTTATCTTCGTCATCCGCGATGACTTCCTCCCTGTCGTCAATAACGTCATTAAAATTGTCAATTGCGTGAGAAACTTCATTGTTACCGAGCGTCTTGTCGCGCCTCCTCGACACGTTACTCAAGTCTCTGACTCCGGGAATCGG